AAAATTTGAACTCATTTGATAAGAAACTGACTTGGCACAAACCATTTGAAGTTTATATGGAAATTACTACTGGGAAGCTTCGAATCGGCCGAGGATCCAACTTCGGCCACCACAGGGTAGTGGTCCGAGCTCAGCTCCTGGAATGCCACAGGTTGCGAGATGTTGTGTCCCATGTTGCTTACGAAGATGTCGATGGTCGCATGGACCCCATACCGACTCAACAGGGTGGGAGAGTCCGGGGCCAAGATGGTATAGTGGCCCTCTTGAGAATGATGCCGTTTCTATTGCTCCGACCGTTGCCCCAAGCTTGGTGTTTTGCGTTCAGATCGCCAGCAATGATAAAGTTCCCGCTCCTCCGGGTGAGTTTGATGATGTTTTTCCGGAGGGCCACTGACGACCCGTCCTTGATATTGGTTTGCTTGGGGTAGTAGGCCGCGATTATGGTGATTGGGCCAAGTGATGTGCTCACCTCCACTCCGATGGCTTCAATTGTTTTCAGCTGGAAGTTTGGTAGCAGCCGACAACTGATGTTCCGTCTTGCAGCGATGGCCACTCCTCCACCTCCAGAGCAGGTGCGATCAAGTCTGACGAGCCGGAAGTCGGGAAGGAATACGTTCAGTTCGGGCTTCAAATGCGTCTCGGTGATGATAGCAATGTCGACCTTCTTGGCGTTGAGGAAATCGAGTAGCTCTCTATGCTTGTTCGTCAGTGAGCAAGCGTTCCAATTTGCAATTTTTATAGCTTCACGGTCCATACTTGGTGACGAATGACAAGGCAGCATGAAGCTGTTCAGGTCGAGTCTTGCAGGTACGCATGATGATGATGACCTCCTCCCAAGCGTCCTAAGTTCCTCCGAGGTGAACGGAGAATCGTCGACAGATTCACCTGAGACAGCACCAGCGTATGATAAACCAGGGGCGGTGGATGAACCTCGAATTGGCTGGCCCGCAGCAGCAGCGAGACGATGCTGAACTGTCCGACTGTTGGGAACCATTTGGATACTCGCAGGATAGGCTTGTTGGTTGTTGAGCGGAAGCGGGGCTAGGTTCGGAACTTGTCGACGGGGCTGGAGAGCTGGGTACTGGACTTCCGTGAGTACAGGAGGCGAACGATGATTACGGAGGCGTCCGAGCTGGTTGTTGATTGTGGCCTTCCGACGGATATTAATGAACTCCACTCGCTTGGGACATCCGCGATTGGAGGCTTGGTGGTTTCCACCACAGTTGACACACGTTGGCTCGATGTCATCGACTTGCTCACAGGACGCAGTTGAGTGAGTTCCAGCACACTTGTCGCAGTTTGTTTTCATGGCCATATAAGAGGCAGTTCATACACTGCGTTACATCACGATGTTGGGGTTTGCAATACTCCCAACTGATGATGACCCGGATTTTGGATCTCAGAGCCGCAAGACTGGTGGATCCTTTCGTGCAATGCACCAGGAACAACTGATCACGGAAGCTGGTGTTTTGGTTAGGACGCCGGTTCATCGGGTACACTGCCTCAGGCTTGAGCCTGAGCCGCTCCAGCTCGGATTTCACCGCAGTCGCCTCGAACGACGGTAATGCACGCAAAACCACCTTCAGTGGCTTGCTCAATGGCAGATCATGCGTGAAGAAGTCCACGTTGTTGTTCTTCAGGAAACATCCTATTTGTTTGTACTCCTCCAGGCTGGAGCACATGATTTTGGTACCGATGCTGCAAAGCTTGAAGTGAGGCAGCAGCTTGTGTTTTGCCAGTTCGGCACCCAGCTTGGCAACATCCTTCACCGGTGTGAAAAGCGGGGGAATCCGCTCTTGTCTTGCAATGGGAACGGCGTCACCATTGCCATTTTCTTCCGGGAGTACTGCATACTGGTTGGCTTGCAGTACTCGTTTTCCGGCGTCATCCTGCGACTCGCTGTGGGCTGCGACGACGTCGGAAGAATTGACATTTGTATTCCTGTGTTTTGTCTGTTATATTGCATCAGAGACCGTATTCCAAAAATATTATTCAATTATGGCACAAAAATAGCATGCAAATGACCATCGAAATACATCACGCACTTGTGTCCACATTGTATTAACTGCACTTGAAAATGAGAGGAATGTTTTACTGTCACCAGTTGTTGTTTACAATTCTGCATTGCTGTATAATGCTCTTCCGGTTGCTGTTATTCAATTTAAATTTGACGTGCTTCAAGTCAATGATCATACCTTTTGCCACACATATGCTTAAGTGGTCCAGTAGGTATGGTTGACGCCTGTGAATCAGCAACTGCCGGTTTGATTCCCGAAATGCAAAGGTAATTTTTAGACTTATATTAACAATCTAAATATGTAAATCCAACTCAAGACCAACAATTGAAATGGCCTTAACTCCATTTTGTAAACAAACCTTGTAAGGCCATTCTCTCGAGGTCCGCAAAGGCAAACCAACATAATGAAAAGGTAGGGGAAATTCTCCTCTACCCGATTGTGGTTTAGGTTTGCAAATGAAGGTTTCGGGTACAAAATGGAGTTAAGGCCATTTCAATTGTTGGTCTTGAATTAGTCAGCAACGAATTAAAGCAGCTCCATATAAATTCTTAAGATATGAAGCGGTCTTCCATTATTATTTTTGAAATAAAACTTAAAGGCTGAACAAGGGTTGGAAAAGACTGTTATTTAATGCCTTAAAAAGCTTATAATGTATATTACTAGGTAACAATTTGATGCTTAACAAGTGTTGTTTAATCGATTTTAATTCAGCCTTAGATTGAATAATTGCTGTACATAGACCACGTTAACCTTGGTTGAGCTTTTAAACATCTAAATATGGTGATTTTAATCAGTCAAAAGATTGCTCTATGACCATCAGAAAAGGGAGTTTCTTGAGTTTCTTGTAGCCTTATTTGCATCGTTCCATTTCGCTTCTCTCCATCCCGTTTGTGACGTTTGTGCAATTTTTAGATTGCACCGAGGGGGGCGACACATCTAAATTTCAAGTCTAGATGCTCAACTAATCTCCCACTAGCGAATCAATCTTCGAAAAATCTTCTTTCATTTATCGCATCTACTTGCATCGCGCATCATCTTTTTGCAGGAAATCTTCAGAATCGACGTCAATCTTCTTTCTATCTACTCAGCGTGCGCGCAGCTAGCCACAGCAAAACCCAATCTTTCCTGCATCGTAGATAGAGTCGTCCCCCTTGGATTGCACGGCGTGTAGATAAGTGGGGTTCAAACTAAAAAATGTTCATATTAAAAACGGTCTGATTACCGGAGCTCTCAAGAGAAAATTGACTTGCATATTAATTAATTAACCTATGAAAATGCTATGGTTTGGACAGAACTATGCTGTGGCTACCACAGTATTTTACATGCTGGTGTGGGTTCAAAACTGGACCAATTAATTAAATAATTAATTAATTGATTGTTTAATTTATTTAGTCATTAATTTTAGTTCGTCAATCCACGCAGACTAGTACAAATACATCTATTAGCGCCGCATAGTGAGAAAACTCTGAACTTCTGTTCTCTAACCGTTCGGCCTTGGCCCATTGTACAACTTTGCCTGAAAATCAATGTAATTAGGTAAAGCACTCTCAAATCAGTATTCCTCAAATCCATGGCTGGAGACTTTCAAATCCATAGCAGGGATGGGGACAAGAAGACCATACGGGGCGAGATGGGCCACCGTTCGTTTGGACATACAGATATACCTCGATATAACGTAACTGTCACTTTTGAGTTTCATCGTCGATTTCTGTTGTATGAGTTTTTTTTTTTAATTTCTGACAAAATATTAACACCCGTTTGCAGACTCAAAATGCTGATGTCCCCATCTGAAATTATAAAACTAGAAAAAGGCTACATATAATCATAAATAAATTAATGTAAAAGAATCTATATACCGTCCAACATTTGCAGCAAGCGCTGACGAATTTTGAATCTTTAGTCACCACGCACGGTGACGTCATATTGATTTTTTTGCGTACCTGAAAATCACGTGAATCTCGTTTCACGGAAATATCGAAGTCCCAAACACACAAACAAAAATACACTAAATCTGTTTACGTGAATATACGGTCAATTTCACCAACATTTTTAGTGGACATGACGTTTAATATAGAGATCTCCAAGCGCAATCTCACGAACACTCAAATTCAACATCCATATATAAAAATGAAGAAGAAGAAGAAGAACAAAAAAGGTATCGCGATATCACAACTACTTAAAAAGGTAGCGCGCGGTCTCACGCACACTTTTGTACATCTGGAGAACTCTATAGGTTAAAGTTACTAACTTCACGTAACATTTTAGATTTTCTAAATAAAGATCAGATACGTAAATCGAACGTGAAGGTTTTTTAGAGTGTAAAATAACGATAGAAATGTAACATTAGCTCAAAATCTCTTAAATATATTAGGATTTGCAGTCAACAAAATAAGCATTGCATTCACTATATTGCATTTCACCGAGCCGCTGCACGTAACAGTTGCTAAAATACCTTATATACCACTTAATTTATCACGGAAATTTGGGTAAAATTGGTAAACAATTTCTTTAAGCTTAGGGTGGCCGTCTTACTCCGCCGTTCCCTATTTATATGTTGGACATTATCCGGATTATCGTGTCATCGGACTATCTAGTGTAATCCGTGGGGAAACCGTATGAAAGAAGGCAAATCACACGCCCACTTCCCTGTATTTTCCACACCGTTCTGAGCGCTTTATCTTTATTCCAATATGTAAACATCCACTCAAAAGATAGTTGATCATCCCAGATATCCCTCCACCTTCCCACATGAGGGGATCGAGAAGGTAAAATTCGTAAAATGCGGCAATTTCACTCTGCTTGGAATTACCATCCTCTGGCATGGGTGTGTGATATGATTCGTAGCATTACGACGGTGACTCACGGAACCCGTTCGCCCCTTCTGTGAATCATGGTTCTTCAGATAAATACAATCGTTTTGTAGTTAATCGTCATCTGTCTTGCTAATCGAACCATTTCTACTTCTCCTTCCAATGTCAACAGAGCAACACCACCAGCAGCAGCAGCATCAGCAGCTATCGTCATCGCCGACGTACTCGGTGCTATCGATGGAATCGTCCGCGTCGTCGCCTAGCGCAGCCGAGAGTAGCAAGTACTACGCGAGCAACTCTCCGTCCAGTGTCAGTAACATGTCCCCGAAATCAACAGCTAGCGATACGAGCTCGTTCAACATGCAGAACTTAAACATTTCCAACGGCTACCCATACTTGATGACCGGGGATGAGACACAGCTGCAAACCTTCCACTATACAGAACACAGCGGTGGTAAGTTTTGGATTGACCTATCTTCTCGGATGTCAAGGTCGGAATTTGATTTCTTTTTCACGATTTCAGCATCGAACCAAGCTCAAGTGGGACTATCCGTGGTACACCTAACGATCATGGAGCAGCCGGTGGACAAGTTTCGCTTCCGGTACCAATCGGAGATGCACGGCACGCACGGTTCCCTGATGGGGGTGAACACGGAGAAAAGCAAGAAGACATTCCCAACCGTAAAGCTGCATGGGTTCCGAGGCGAAGCCAAGATCCGTTGTTCGTTGTTCCAGGTGGATCCGAACCGGAGGGCAGCCCACTCGCATAACCTGGTGATCAAAAGTGGAGAAATTGATCTGAACGATCCGCACGATATCGACGTGAACGAAGATTGCAACTACGTGGCCATGTTCCAGGGCATGGGAATCATACATACGGCTAAGAAGAACATTGCCGAACAGTTGAGCAAAAAGATGAAGAAGCAAAAGGCGGTAGAGGTGTCCCGGGAGCTGACTCTCCGAGAGGAACAGCAGCTGCAGAAGGAGGCAATCGAGATGGCAAAGACGATGAATCTTAATCAGGTGTGTCTGTGCTTCCAGGCATTTCAGGTCGATCCGAACACCGGCCAATGGACGCGGCTGTGTGAACCGGTTTATTCCAACCCGATTAATAATATGAGTAAGTGGGGATTGGTTTTTATAGCTCGGCATTCCTATTAACATTGTATTCGATTCGGTTTCCAGAGAGTGCCCTGACAGGAGAGCTGAAAATTTGCCGGCTGAGTACAACTGCTGGCAACGTAGATGGAGGGGAGGAAGTGTTTATGTTTGTTGAAAAAGTTTGCAAAAGTAAGTTGAAGCATTGGATCTGCTTCGGATTCGCAGTATAAAGCATGTTTTTTCTTTACTTTCTCCGCGGATTGCAGATAACATCAAGATTCGATTCTACGAATTGGACGAGTACGATCAGGAGGTCTGGCAGGATTGGGGTGTCTTCTCGGAAGCGGACGTCCACCATCAGTATGCAATCGCATTCAAAACACCCACCTATCACAACAAAGACATCACCGAACCGGTCGATGTGCTGATGCAACTGTATCGACCACGGGACAAATGCCAGAGCGAGTCCGTCCCATTCAAGTACAAACCCCGCCTGAACATATCCCGCAAGCGGCCTCGGGTCAGTTCCGGTCAAATTTCCTGCAACATTCCCACTGTGGTCCCCAATGAACCGGGAACCAGCCGGTTACCATCGTTCCACCATCCGTTCTCTATAATTCCACCGCTGCCAGCGCCCATTCCCGAGTCGAGTAACACCATCAGCAAAGAATACAACAAATCAGGCATCATTCAGGAGATTTTGGACAGCCACATTCCCACCACAATAGCCGCTGATATCTCGTTTAGCTCGAACGACTTCAAAGATTTCGTCCTTTGTAACTCGGAAGGTAATGGATGCAACCGGAAAAAAATTTACATACCTTGACAGGTGATTAATTTACAACCCACCTTTATTTTCTTCCGAACATAGAACTACACAAGCTCATCAACGACATCGGTGAGGCGCAGGAGATGAGCAAGTTGGAAACGGACTCGGTGTCGGTCAGTCACGTGGACGATGCGGCGGCACAGTTCGAGCGAGCGTTGGAGCAATATCTGGACCAGAACCAGCAGGCGAAGGACGTGGAGATCCTGAAGAAGATTCTGACCATCATTAGACTCCTGTGCCGGAAGAACTACGACCAGTGCCGGGAGCTGATATCGGCCCTCTGGATGTCAGCGAACAAATTGAAAGTCAAGTGAGTAGCTACCACGTACAAGTTTGTTAGACGATTTATGCTTAAAATTGGCGGCTGTTACTTAACACTTGCTGTGTTACCTGTGATTCGTTTGTTCGCATTCCGCCGGCTCTTTTGTCGAAATTCATGCATGTAGGTGTATATGCATATACAATATACATTGTTGGCGTAGTTTATCACCGTTGCTGTGAACAATTGTTGTGCCTTCTTTTTCAGTATTAATTCTATTGATTGTCTGTTGATTTGTTTTTAATCACCCCATTCAGGTTAACAATTCTTTAAAATCGTGTTTAATTAATCATTAAATAAATGTATCCAACTATGCTGCATATGTTTCAATCAACAAATTTCACATTCAGTATCGTTGTGCGATCATTATGGTTTGTGGCTGTTTGGCATAGAAAGATATTTTTCGGGGTGTTTAAAGCTTGAATTGTGATTCATTCTGAATTGGGTCTAGTTGGCAAAAGAAATTGGCGAATAGGTCGCTATATTGATGACATTCTGAAGATAGGAGTATGGCGAGACTGGCGAATTAGATTATCCACAAATAAAATTTTTGGTTGGGAAAATCCGTTCGAGACCGGGTCTAAACTGATGATCAGCTCTAATTATAGTCGTTTTCCTTTAAATTCTGGAAAATCCACTCGGAACTAGTTGTTGGATCTTCTCTTCTTTAATGGAAACTAGTAATACTACTATACAGCCCGGCGATCGGTGGGAATTGCCAACTGCTAAGTTGGGAGATGGCAACTTGCACATTATGAGTTAATACATTATGTCACTCGGAGCTTCTAGATGGGAATTTTCACCTTTACTATGCCACCAAAGGCTCTGGAAATACCAAGCCGCAGAACTTCGTAGGTGTCTATTAGACTGCCAATGAATGTATGGGAAAAATTTGACCATAAAATTTCGCTAACAAACCATATACAAAATGTTTATTGCCTCGAAAAATGACCCTATGCAAAATTTGAGCTTAATCGGACAATCCGAAATTTCATGTACTCTCACCCCCCTTGGGAGATTTTCGAGAGTGAAAAAAGTTAAACTTTGACGCGTTTGCGCCACCCCTAAATCATGTCCGATTGAGCTCAAATTTTGCATAGGGTCATTTTTCGAGGCAATAAACATTTTGTATATGATTTGTTGGCGAAATTAAAAATTACCATTTTCGCTGGCAGTCTAGTGTGTATAGCTCTAGGTATAGCCTATATAGCTTTCCCACAGAAAAATCCCATAAATATCAGAGGTCGACGACTCCATCTGAGATGTAGAGCAATATATGAAGAGTTTCTGCTAAGAGAAGAACAGGGTGACACACAGTTTTTTTTAAAGATTTCTATTAGTACAGAATATAGAATTACTTTCAGGAATATAAAATGCTTCCCGTAGCTTTGCTACTCAAGTTATTTTACCCACAAATAACTTCGAAAATTTGCACTTGGTCACGATTAAAAAAAAAATGTGATCATTTTTGCTGAAAATTGAAAACCGGGAATTTTTTGAGAAAACCGGGAAAAACCTTGAATTTCAAAATCCAAATTCACTGGATGGAGCACGCTGTAAGTAGATGGACTTCGCTGTGAGAACTGAAGGAAGATTTGATCAAACTACATCCAACGGTTTATGTATTTCTCCATTAAAAATCGGAATGTATCCACCTATGATGAAATCTAATCCTTCTTACTAAATCAAATGTGACCAATATAGTTTTGTGGGGTCTCCCTTAGCTCAGTCGGTAAAGACACAGCTAAAAAGCAAGACCATGCTGGAGGTGGCTGTGTTCAATTCCCGATCCGGTATAGGAATTTTTCGGGTTGGAACATTTCTCGACTTCCCTGGGCATTGAGTATGATTGTACTTGCCACACAATTATACTAAGGCCACGGCCAGGGTAGACGCGACACGCGACGCGACGCGATGCGACTCACGCAAGGAATAATAATAAATAATAAGATTCTTTTGAATTGGTCGCGTCGCGTCGCGAATCGCGTCTACCCTGGCCGTACCCTAATGCAAAAATGACAGTGGCGTCGCGTCCACATGTGCAACCTGTGTACGAAACACGTGTGAAAAATTAAAAAAAAAATGCGTTTAGATTTTTATAGATTTTATGGCCAGTACTTCTTTACTCCAGACCATGACCATGAATACACTATTTTATAGTGTGGCTCAATGGAATCTTCGACCTTGGTTTGCTTCAAAAAGGATTAAATTCAGTTCGGATGGTCTGCCTTATTCCGGATGCATTGATTTCTAAGCATGTCGATATCACTACCATGACAAAACTCGTTAAAATGTGCATCTAAAGCGAGCTTTTTAGAGTGGCGGGCAGAGTTGCGACCTATCACAATCACGATCGTCAAACAGCTGATGGTAGTAACGCTTTGTACATTCCTATCAATGTGCTCGACGAAGCTCTTTCACTTTGTACATTCCTATCAATTTGCTCGACGAAGCTCTTTTCATGACCATCCATCAAGTTAACGATAGAAGTAAAAAGCAACTGGTGAATGTCGTCTTCGGTTGTGATCCATCACCGATCTGGTCATTCCCGACAATCACGACACTCATCTGTGCTCGTTTTGAAGCAGTTGCTGCTTTGCTTGCTTATGTGAGTGTGTTGGTGAGTGTGCCCAACAGCTTCCGTTCAATGTTGCCTGCTTTGTTTGTAACTCACACAGTCGCGCCTGCCGAGACGAACTTATAGCGAATTTGTTTATTATTCAGTTCCAACCTGGATCGGGTATCAAGATCGGCTCTGCTTGTTTTCCGACAAACGTCAGCTTGATCGTTTGTTTTTAAAACCTACCTCAGGTTCAGCGCTGCCATTTATACAGATTTATCTGTATTATACAGATTTTTTAATCTTAATACAGACCCGATACAGAATACAGATTTATCACAGATTTTTAAATTACAATACAGATTTATACAGATTTTTATAAAATGAATGTTATGGTGTTTTTGACAGCATTCACAACCAGAGGACCAACCGCTTTCGGATGCATATGGAGCTGGTAGTAAACGATTTGAGATTGTATGGGGATTTACAGTATTAATTGAATATTTCCAATATAAGCATGTATGTTAAATACAAGAAAAGTGCCCGAGCACATTGAAATGGTACAAATACAAGTACTCGTAAACATTTTACTTGCATTGAAAATGTATTTTGTAAGAAATTGCGGATTTTCTGATATTCTCCATACTGCAAAAATGATTTTACCAGCACTGGCGGGGCGACATCTCTCGACTTTTCAGTGTAACTACCACACAAATGATGTAATTAATTGTATTCATCTATATTAAAAATATCAAATAGTAATGAACTCGTGCACTTTTTTGCATTTAAAACTGCTTATCAGGAAGATAATGAATAGAAACTAAAGTCTCCATACATTTTCAAACGGCTTCATATCACTCTAATAAATAAGTACGGACGATATCACAAATGGCGCAATTATATCCCGTATGGTTAGTACGATAGCCCGAATAGGTGGTTAAGCACTTTTTATAATTATTTTGTATGCACTGTATTTGTAAAACAACAAAACATGATTAATTAAGAAAAAAAAATCGTCAATACAGAAAATACAGATTTTTTAATAGAGTGGATACAGATTTTTTATAAAACCACCTGGCAGCTCTGCTCAGGTTCAGGTTCGCACTGACCAAAAGTTCGGTTTCATTTTCTTCTGTCATTTCGCTTTTTCTCATCATCGTACTGCAGAAGTCTCGATGAACATTTCAAATGGTCCTATCTGCTTTGATCGATTCTCTTCATCGACTTTCTCTTTTCATAAACACTGCTATGCAAACAGATTTCGCGCTAATTCTACCACATAGTTTGATAAAGGAGGTTCTTATCTGGCGTCCACAACGTCAAATACAACAGGGAAAGGTGCAAAACTTTTCCCTGTTGTATTTGACGTTGTGGACGCCAGATAAGAACCTCCTTTATCAAACTATGTGGTAGAATTAGCGCGAAATCTGTTTGCATAGCAGTGTTTATGAAAAGAGAAAGTCGATGAAGAGAATCGATCAAAGCAGATAGGACCATTTGAAATGTTCATCGAGTAGTCTTCACTGTTTTCGTTGTTGTTTACATCATCAGCAGCTAGTGTAACGTTTTGCTTGTGAGCAGCGACCATTACTGGTGATTGTTGTTTGTCATGGCTCTACACAGCGAAAAAAGTTGTTGAATATTACATCAAAACTGCTGCAACCAGGTCAATCCATCGGTTGTGTAATATCACATTGTACGATGTACATCGATTTTGCGAACAAAATTGCATCCATTGATGTAATATTGTATCTGATTTTTGCTATTACATCATTATTTCATACATCAGCTTGAATTACGTTGATCGATATTACATTTTTTGCTGTGTACCTCTAACTGCGTGACAAAACGTTATGTCAGCGATAGTCGGTTGATGCGTTGACGATTGTCGAGTGAGTGTTATGATATTTTACATCACTGGTGGCGGGTGGCAAGTCTGTAAATGGTCAAATGCCTGATGTAAGCCAAGCAGACCTTCTACAACCTCTTGAAACGTACACAGAAAAAAAAAAGTTGTTGAATATTACATCCAAACAGCTGCACAGAGATCATTCCACCGGTCGTGTAATATTACATTGTACGATGTACATCGATTTTGCGAACAAAATTACGTCCATTGATGTAATATTGTATCTGCTCTTTGCTATTACATCATTATTTCATACATCAGCTTGAATTACGTTGATCGATATTACATTTATTTTTGCTGTGTACCACAAATTTTCCACAATACATGGCAGTTTGCACCACTAGTTGTAATTGAAACTTTCAGCAGTCACGCGTCAAACGTGAGCAACACGGAAACAGCAGTCTGGTACGCCTTGGACGTGTATGCGTGGATGCGACCAAGCTTGTCCTGGGCACTTGGTTTGGCTGTCGATGATCTTATGTTTGATTTCTGATGTAATTTGATGTGTCGCGTGATAGCTTGTGGTGTTAGTCACGGTGTTAACCACTTAATCGGTGGTATCCAGAACATGGCCGGATGTGGTCAATGTGGTCCAGAACTCTCATTTTGGCTGTCTTCGATCTTATTTTTTGGATTTTGAAGTAATTTTAAGTTTAGCATGATGGGTTGTGATCCTAGTCATGAACAAGTTACACCCTCAGGGGTATCCGAAACATTGCTGGATGTCCTGGGAACTTGGTTTGGCTGTCATTGATCTTATTTTTTAATTCTGATGTAATTTTATGTAACCAATGTTATCCTGGACACTTGTTTTGGAAGTCATTGATCTTATTTTTGAGTTCTGATATAATTTGATGTGTCGCATGATAGGTTTTCGTGTTCGTCATGAACTGGTCACTTCCTCGGGGGTACCCGGATGATAGCTAAATGTGGTCAATGTAGTCCAGAATTCTCGGTTTGGCTGTCATCGATTTTGTTTTTGAATTCTGAAGTAATTTGATGTGTCGCATGATGGGTTGTGCTCCTAGTCATGAACATCGGCCACTTTCCCAGGGGTACACGGATCATGGCAGGATGTGATAAATGTAGTCCTGTGCATCTTGAAACTATAGTCAAAAGGTACAACACAATAAACATTTTATCTTCCGCTATCCAATAAGCCTCCTCTACCAGAACGGGAGCCGCTTCCAGTGGTTTACTTGTATGGCAGATTCGCCAAAGAGGGTCAGAGCGCTTCCATTGTAGCAATAGACGCAAAACGTGGTCAGCACTCACACATTCATCACGAAACGGTTGCTTTGCAAAGTCGACGACGCATCGACTGAAAGAACTGCTGCTGAAGAACAATGAGGAGGACCACGCAATGGTTGCTGCCGAGCAAACAGACGATCGCGTGACACACATTGAGAGTGGTCTGCTTCTGTCGACAGCCGAGTGAACTCTGCACTCAGTTTAGTTGTCAAATTATAGAGTTCTGATGTAATTTGATGTGTCGCAAGATTGGTTTTGGTCTTGGAGTCTTAGAGTTTTGGAGCCATGAACCGTCCACTTCCTCGGGGGTGCTCGGAACATTGAAAAAGACTGCACAGCGAATGAGTTCAGTTTACTCATAATCGCAAAAAGTGCAGGAACTCAGCGATGAGTAAATATGCCTCATGCCTGTGAAAAACTTAAAAAAAACTGCCGTAAAATGAGGTACATTGACGAAAAATTTACTCAGTCTAGGAGTAATACCAATAGACTGAGAGAATCCAATCTTTACTTTTCTTATATTCTGGAATTTTTTTCCTGGAACAACCAAGAAATCCTGGAAAAACACGAGGAAATTTTACTCATCGCTGCACTTTTTGCGATTTATCATTAAACTAAATTCAAATTTAGGTTGATCTCATTGGCCTTGTCAAAGTCAGTTTATTTTTCTTCATTAAGTAGACACCCAGGTAGCATCTTAAATAACCCTATCTCTTTCTAACCAGTCAATTCCTAACTGAACTGCTGAACGAGTCTCGTCCATTTGAACAAATTTGCTGCAAATCGGAAGCTTCTATCTGGTATCAATTTTGAGCTAATGCTAGATGACATGTATTTTATTACCGGGTGGTATCTAAAGAGTCAATTATCAACTAAACTGTCAACTGCTGAACGGGTATCGTCCTTTTGAGCAACTTTGCTCAAGACAGAAAACTTCTATCTGGACTCGATTCTGAGTAATCACTAGAATAGTCTTATTCGTACTCTGGCGCCACATAGTGAGTCAATTCCGAACATAATTGATTACTATTGAACGGGTCTCGTACATTCGATCAACTTTCCTGAAGACAGGAAACTTTTATCTGGTCTCGATCCTGAGTTATCACTAGATGAATAATATTTGTACATTAGAGCCACCAAGTGAGTCAATTTCCAACTAAATTATTCACTACTGAACGGGTCTCATCCATTTCAGAAACTTTGCTGAAGACAGAAAACTGCAATCTGGACTCGATTGTGAGTAATCACTATAATAGTCTTATTCGTATTCTGGCGCCACCTAGTGAGTCAATTCCGAACATAATTGGTCACTGTTGAAAGGGTATCGTCCATTCGAATAATTTTCCTAAAGACAGGAAGCTTTTATCTGGTCTCGATCCAGATTTATCACTAGAAGAAGAATATTTGTACATTAAACCCACCAAATGACCCAACAAACATTGGAAGCAGAATAAGAGATTATTCAGACAAAAATATGCTTCTTCAGGTAAAAAATGGCTTATTCAGCCTTTTTACAGCACAAATTGTTTGTTGGGGAGTCAATTTCCAACTAAATTGTTCACTACTGAACGGGTCTCATCCATTTCAGCAGCTTTGCTCAAGACAGAAAACTTCAATCTGGACTCGATTCTGAATAATTACTAGAAGAACTTTATTTGTAAACTGGCCCAACCTAGTGACTCAATTCCGATCATAATTTTTTACTATTGAACGGGTCTTGTCTATTTGAACAACTTTGCTAAAGACAGGAAGCTTCTATGTGGTCTCAATCCTGCTTTATCATTAGAAGAAGAATATTTGTCGGAGACGAGCCAGCCAACGGCTGAAAGTCTCCTTAATAAAGATATAAAAAAAAAGAATATTTGTACATTAGAGCCACTTAGTGAGTCAATTTCCAACTAAATTATTCACTACTGAACGGGTCTCTTACATTTGAGCAACTTTGCTTAAAACAGAAAACTTCTATCTTTACTCAATTATGAGAAATCACAAGAATAGTCTTATTCGTACTGGGGTGCCACCTAGTGAGTCAATTTCGAAAATAATTGTTTACTATTGAACGGTTCTCGTACATTCGAACAACTTTCCTGAAGACAGGAAGCTTCTATGTGGTCTCAATCCTGATTTATCACTAGAAGAACAATATTTGTACTTTAGAGCCATCTAGTGAGTCAATTCCCAACTAAATTATTCACTACTGAACGGGTCTCATCCATTTCAGCAACTTTGCTCAAGACATAAAACTTCAATCTGGACTCGATTCTGTATAATTACTAGAAGAACTTTATTTGTAAACTGGCGCCACCTAGTGACTCAATTCCGATCATAATTTTTTACTATTGAACGGGTCTTGTCTATTTGAACAACTTTGCTGAAGACAGGAAGCTTCTATGTGGTCTCAATCCTGCTTTATCACTAGAAGAAGAATATTTGTACATTAGAGCCACCTAGTGAGTCAATTCCCAAGTAAATTATTCACTTCACAACTTTGCTCAAGACAGAACACTGCTATCTGGACTCGATTCTGAGTAATCACCATAATAGTCTTATTCGTACTCTGGTGCCACCTAGAGAGTCAATTTCGAACATAATTGTTCACTATTGAACGGGTCTCGTCCATTTAAACAACTTTTCCCAAGACAGGAAGCTTCTATCTGGTCTCGATCCTAAGCTACTACTAGAAGATCTTTATTTGATGATTGGGACGCCAATAGAAGACAAAATAGGCTAGTCGTTAAAAACTTAAATTCAAAATAAGCCAAAATTATTTTCAGAATATTAGTTCCCTAATGAACATATACCTTAATGAATGAATTTGTCGTCTTTCCACTAAAACGTACAGTTGCGCATTACTTTACGATCGTGTCATTAACCTTCCTCTCGCTACGTTCTGTCCACTTCCAGTTGCCTGCACATGGCCATCGAGCGGCGGAACGTCCCAATAGCCTGCAAATTGGTCGAACTCCTGCAGGACAACCAGCTCCACGAGCTGCTGGATCTGTTCAACGAGCGCAGCGAAACGGCCCTGCACCTGGCCGTATCGGCCAATCTGGTGGAAGTCGTCGACGTGCTGCTGCTATCGGGATCCCGGATCAGCTTCTGCGACAGTCGGGGAAATTCCGCGCTGCACCGTGCCGTCTACGAGAATGCCACCGATAGTTTAAATGTCTTGCTAGGACATTGCAAGCGAAACGGGTTCCGGCTGGATTCGACCAATGACGATGGCTTCACGCCGCTGCATCTGGCGGTGATGTGCAAGAATCTGAAGGTGACGAAGATACTGCTGGAACGAGGGGCCTCGCACAAGCTTCGCGATCTCAAGCATGGGCACAACATCCTGCACATTGCGGTGGAAAGTGTAAGTTAGATGCTCCGTTTTACGTTTGATGACAATCAATGAGTAATACATCAATTTCTATCTCCACAGAATTCTCTGGACATGGTCAACTACATTCTGGAAAATGTAGACAAATTATTAGGCGTAGTACCGAACAATGCCGGCTACACCCCGTTGCAGTTGGCCAATGCAAGGCACTTGGCAAACTCGATTAACAAGTTGATCGTTACGGAGTTGCTTCGCTACAATCCCGGAGGGCTGTTGGAAAAAGAACATCTAACGGACGAGGAGGATGATGAAACGGAGCAGGACGAGAACCACCATCCCCGGAATGAGTTCCGGACAGAAACCGTGTTTGATTCGATCAACGTAAACTGTAACCGGGTGGAAGTGATACGGGTATTGGAGGAGCATACGAATTCGAATCAGGAACCTACGTTGACTCCTTTGGAGAATGTACCGTACAGCAGCACGCTCGATGAGGGTGCCGGATATCTGTTCGACGAGGAGTGCCTGTCCCACCTGTGTGGGCTGTTGAATCGGCAACATTTGTGGCGAGATGTGGGATCGCTGCTGGACTTCAATGCATTCTTCACGATCTGGGAAGAGTCGGTCAATCCTGCTGGCATGTTGTTGAACTATTTTGAGGTACTTTTGCGCAACGCGATCTGTAGTTTCAGAATGATTAACAGTTTTCATCGTTACAGATGCAGAAAATGAAACTCGAAAATTTGACAGGCATCCTGCAAGCGTTGGATCAGAAAGAGGCCGTTCATTACATTGATGAAATGATTTGCCGGCATATGAAATGAGCATCTCTTGAGTGGAACCGAGTTCAGTTTTGTGGAGTAGAGATTCCCTTTTGGGGTTACACATTTGCGAGAGGTAATCATCTCTCATCTAATCCAGTGCTAGTGATCATATAGGTTAAGTTTCTGACACACTTCAAATTTTATGCAGATTTGAAGGAAGGATACGTACAAAAGATTTATTATCATACTGTTTTTATGTAACATAAAACATGTTTAATTGTGTAGTTGAGTATCACCTGCTAGAAACGTGTGCGATGCCCTTTAGGACTTCAATTATCGAATTGAACGCCATCGATGGCTTTTGGCGGATAAATTGGGACTGAAGTTCCATTAACTTTTCCGAAGTTCAGTCAACTTCTCCAGAGTAGCCCACGGAACATCGGAGGAGTTTAGGCAGGTTAATGGAACCATTTTAAAACTCAGTTCAGATCTTCAGGAAGGTCAGCAGATAATAGAGTATAATATACATATGTGTTCAAAGAAATTCAATTCAGTTCAGGAGATTCAGAAAACTCAGAGTTTCATTTACAACCCTATTTTTAGTATATATTTGCGCCTTCGAAGCATGCAACCAAAGTGCTCGAATCAGTAACCCTAGTACTACACTATATTTGTTTTGATTAGCTATAAAGGTTGAAAGATAAAATGAGGGGTTCGTGGATTTACCTATGTTTCGAGGGGTGCATCGATTAGCTTGGGACCAAAGATAGTACCAGAGCTGAGCCAAAAAGTTGAGCACGTTTCTTCGGGACCTTCTAGTCTTAGAGCTACCTTTATGGTTATACCCCTTCCTCCCCTACTTCGCTGACATATGAATAAACATTTTGTTCAATATTGAAAGTACCGTCTTCTGATTCTTTTGATGACTGCCTGTTGCGTTATCATAAAATGCAACCTTCAATCTTCTCTGCTACAGAGACCTAATTTAAAACTAATGATGGAGCTACTGAAAACAAATTAACGTATTTTTTGGCAATTGTTTTTTTTTTCTCACAAAATGCATGGCGTCTTTTTGAACTATACTGGGGTGCTACTCCAATATATATTACGGCTTGTTTAGGACCCCACATTTAAATTTTAATAATTTATTACATTCCAGGAAAATACTTGAACCAACATTAAACCATAACCGAAACATTGGAATACTTGAAAAATTTAAGATAAAGTATAATATTCAAAAATGCATCATACATCAAATTTGCGTAGTTCTACGTCATATTGCGGTCGTGTCTAGGAAGCAACACTTTATTTTTTTCTTTAATTACCGTGAAACGTTAAACCCACCATAATAGACTTTGGAAATCAAATATAATATATAAATTAATGATTTTATTGCATGATAAATAAAACGGGTTCCGATTCCTTTAGTGGATCATAACTGAATTCTTAAGCTATTAAATCAAATTTGCGAAACTTTTGGGATTAAACATTGAGAAGGAAGCATGTTGAATGGTGACATACTTGGAGAAAGATTATGCTGTAGGGTTGGACAAAGAGCTAGCAGGGCGTCTGGCGCATAAGTCAAAATTTTAGAGGCCCTACCAGGATCCTCCTTACAAGTGACTTAACTATTTTCACTATTTGTACTATATGCCAAAACATTGCTGGATAAATTCCCCGTCGAATGGCATATTGCATGACATATTTCACATTAATGTTTGGGTGAAATATGCGTTTGAAAACACCTTCCTTTTTTGTTACATGCCTTATTTTCGATTTCTTAATGTGATTCCCAGTATAGTAAAGAAAGGCGTAGTCCTACGTTAAAAATTTGCTCAATTCGGTGGAAGACAGTCGATACATTTCGGAAGGTGGACGGTATCACCCACCACGGTATTCAGGGGATTTCTGTAGATGGCAAACACTTTTTTCAAAATGAAGCAACATTGCAGGTTTTATCGAAATTTTATAGCATTCTACAAGTCTAAACCATGGTCTACAGAACCCTCATAAAACCAAAATTGTTACTTGGGTACTGTGGCGTATCGTAGTATCGTGGGAAATTCGTTTGCAGAACTGCATCGATGGAGTCGGAGTACGTTGTACCAGACCAGGGACCACATTGCGCATCTCGAAACGAAAAACTTGTTCATACATGCGTTCGTACAAAAAGTCTTTCGTTGCGAGATGCGCAATGTTGCCCCAGGTAGGTTCGTGATGACTGTATGGCTTCGAAATATGAAGGAGGAATTTGGAAAGACTTTGATGGAGCTTGTGGAAGTAATCTAAGACAACCAGAGTTGCATTATGTCGGATCGGAAAGAATCAGCTGTCGATCGAAGCACATCGAAACTTGGGAATCACGAAAAGATTCTCGAGCTGCCCAACTAACATTTTCAGCTTTGTAAGCCAACTTTTCCAGCGTTGTGCTGTAAAGTAGCTGAAAAGAAGCTGCAGATACAGCTACAAGCAAAAGCTAGCAAAATAGTTTTGGAGAGCATTTACTCAACTTTCTCACGACCATTATTCAATTTGTCAGTCGCACTGAATAACATAAGCCAATAAAAGCTAATGTCACTTCTATACACACACTAATCAACTTTCAACTTGTAGCTGCAAAACAAAGCTAACAAAGTGAATATATTACTCATTTGATGGCTTCTAAACAACCAACCACTCTTGCTGAATAACATAAACATCAAAAGTGCTTTTTCAACTACTAAACAACCTGTACTCAGCTTATAAACTGTGTTAGAGCAACTTCGGAAGCATTTTCACAGTCAACTAGGTTTATTATTAGACGTGTGCAGTTTTACAGCTTTTACTCTGCTCTTTTATAACTAGTCGAGAAAAGTGATTCGTGTGCACTATTAGTTGTAGAAGGGAATGTTGATTTGTTTACATAAGTTCAAAGTGTTGGCGTAGCACAGTTGGTAGTGTCAAGGTTTGCCAATGAGGTCGTCTCGAGTTCGATTCCAGGTTCCGGTGCAGGGTAAATAATTTGGTGATGATTTGTAACTAATTTCGATTAATTTGATTCACAGCAAAATAAACTAAATAAATTCCTTCATAAAAAAGCGTAAACAGTATTTAACCCGGCTTCAAGAGAAAGCTGTGTAGTGATTATTGGGTAACCGGGAAAAGGTTGAATAAGTGCCTTTCAAGTTCACACACAACTAAACAGCAGGATAACAGCTGTATAGAAGCGTTAATGGATATGCAATAAGAGCTTCTCCCGACCGTTCCAACAGCCATAAGTAGCTGACTAAGTTCGCCAGATTTGCTAGTATAGAGGTTGAGTAAAGGTTTCCTCATATCGTATAACGTTTGAATACAGCTTGAGGCTGTATAAATGAAATGAGTAAAGCGTTTACATTGTGAAAATTGTTAGTTGGGTAGTCTACTTTCGGATCGAAGAGATACGATACCGGACGAACTCGTCTCGTTTTCTAAGCGACCCGTTACATGTACATCACTGTTAACAACAACTTCTTCTTCTTATTTCCTTTATTTAACGTCGGTCTCTGTTCCGCAATCTAGTGCCAATCACCGACGGACATCGATTGCCATCCATTGACGGCAATCGAATGTGCAGAAAGGCAGCTTCATGGGCCGGGACCAACGGCTTTACTTCCCTTCCGAAGGAAGACGTGACCAGAGATTTTTATGCCTCAGAAAAATCCCACCGACCTCGGCTGGGATTGAACCCAGACCCATTGGGGTGTTAGAAAGCAGTCACGCTTACCACTACACCACCGGCGCCGGCTTAACAACAACTTCGAACCATAATGCATGTGCCAGTTAAAGGGGGATTTTCTCAACCATCAATTGAAAGAGAAACAAATTTCGTTGCATTTAGCTTTTTATTTCGTCTGGAAACTGGAACTTACGCTGTCGTTCAACCAGTTTGCGGTAGGTCGCGTGCGCTGATGCTGATGCAGATGCTGTTGCACCGAACACGTGCTCGTCCTCCGGCACCGTGCGCAGCATCCCTCGAGATGGGAAAAAAACACGTGCTCAAACATCGAATGCCGGCGGTGCCGCGGTGTGAAATAAAAAAAAGCAACGTTCAACACTTGCACAGTTGGTGATTTTTCATTACTTATAGAATTTATTACTCGTACTAAGGAAATTACCCCTTTCGATTACATATACAAAGAAGGTGTCTTACAATGCTAATTGACTACAATTAAAATCTGCTTTATTGAATCAATTATTTACAAATGTGTATGATAATATTTCCTAGATCATCTCGTTGGCTGGTAAAATCACCTGAAAACGTGATTCCTAACGTGTATGAGGTGTATGAGAGCAATAGAGTCGTGTAAAGTAAGGAGTGTGTCTGGGAACACGGTTTCCACATAAATAGTTGTGCGAGTCATGGTCCTGAAAACGTGTTTGAATATTTAGCTGCGGTGTACCTATCGAAGTTTGTGTATGAAATGTGTTTAGAACGTTAATGACGTAGCAGTTGAGCATACATAACGAAGTATAGTACAACACTTAACTGTGACAAGGACAATCACTTTTACTTACAAGCTAGAAAACCGAAACTCCGGGAAGAGAGCTTCCTAGGATACAGAAACATAACAAGACGATATCATTCCTATTGAATTAACCCGTTCGACTCCCTCTCGCCGTTCGTCTTTTCCCTGGCCGCAGGGTCGCATGTCGATGCTGCTGCTGCTGCTGCTGTTGGATTAGTTAAGGATTGGATCAGATCAGATCAGATCTAAATCGATCCGGGCACCCATCCGCCGCAGGGCGATGATCGTATTGACCGCCTTGATCCACCGTTTCTTAATAACATAACGTTTCAATTTTGTCTTTGTTATAGATAGTTCGGTCGTGTCGTGGACCGTCTCGGCGAGCCACTTGTGGTTGAGGGCTTGCTTGGCGGTGAGCCGCTTGGAGCCATCGCGCACCAGCAACTGGCGGACAAAGTCCATCGCATCCTCCGACACGGCGTCGAAGGAGCTGTACTTGAACGAGTAGTTGCTGGTCACGACGTTGTTCATGGTGGCCATGTCGTTGTCGCCGACGAACGGCGACAGACCGGACAGTCTGTGAATTGAGGGGGTGAGGAGGAGGAGGTACATGTAGAGCTTTTGGTTTTTTTTTTCTTTGTGAATGCGTGTTTCATCTATCCGGGGCCACCGGGTGCAGGGTGGTGTCGATTATTGTGTGATTCACATGGCTTTGATTTTAGTAAAGTAAATACCACAGACATAACGCATTTTCACTGTACAATATCGTTACAAAACACTTCCGCCATCTGTTGAATACACTGTCGGGCACTACGCTCAACAGATGGCGGTAGCGTTTAAACATCAAACGCAAGGAAAATTATTATGCGCGCCACAGGCGGTGGCACTGTCAACTAGAAAATATTTAAATTGACCTACAAATGCGTGTTTGATGAAAAACATGCAAGCGTTATGTCTGCTTATCTGTGAAAATACTGTTTGATTAGTTTTCTAGTCTGTTAGGTTGTGAGTTCAAATAAGGAGTTCCAAATCCACCACCTGATTAGGCTTTGAAATCCATGTTACTCAAACAGATGATTAGACTGTATGTACAAATGCCATTTGATTGGTCTTGATTAGTACCATTCTGGGATGGGAAACGTGTGGAAATTTTCGACCGGAGTTATTTAGAGAAGAAGAGTATTTTGTGGCCTTGAAAAGTAGGCTGTGCGTGTGTTCGAACCTGACGTTTGTTTTTGCGTGGAGTTTTTTTTTTTATCTATAATCGGTTGCTGATCTAGCCATAACCAGGCCCAAGAGGCAATTTCAAGTGCCTCATTCTAAGTCCCTATTATTTGCCACTGAGAAACTGTTCCGAAGCCAAGTAGAGCCTCCACGAGGCGTCTCATCATTCGTCCCATCATTTATTGTTCTACATCAACACATGTCAGGCAGCCTTCAGGTTCAATTGGCTAAACTTGGTGAGTTCGTTTCATTTTGTGAATTTTTATCTTTTCAAACCAGTAACGTTCGGAGATCACCTTTTTGTGGTGCGTTACTGGTATAAGATCTACCGCCGAGTCCTAGTCGTGACAACTTCAAACTAGGGAATCAGGATTTTCCAGTAGTCAAAGATCACATTTTAGCCCTTGTTACTTTTATATGACTTGATAATAGTGACAAGACTCGGGTAGTGACCACCGCGCTGTTCCGCATTTCTATATTGTATATTTCAAATCAAAAATATTGTGTATGTTCATAGATTTCACATAATCCTTTTCCCTTTGCCCTTCTCTTTTTCCTTTCCCTCTTCTCTTTTCAAAAAGCGAGTAATGGCGCTATAGCCATAAGTCATAAAAGGCTAGGACAAACCTATTGAGAATCAGGTTGCTCGGGATTTTCGGAATATTTTCTCTCGGGAAAATATTTTTGATGATTCCTGGGGGACTGATTTGGACGAAGTAAGGTCTATAACTAAAAAGTTTCAAAATATGAAAGCTCCAGGTGATGATGGAATTTTCTATATCCTCATCAAAAAACTCCCCGAGAGTACCTTGTCTTTCTTGGTAAAATTATTTAACAGATGTTTCCATTTGGCATACTTTCCTGATAAATGGAAAAATGCGAAAGTTGTTCCAATTTTGAAGCCGGATAAAAATCCAGCTGAAGCTTCTAGCTACCGCCCAATAAGTTTGCTTTCTTCAATAAGTAAACTTTTTGAAAAGATAATTTTGAATAGAATGATGCTTCACATCAATACGAACTCAATTTTTGCCGATGAGCAGTTTGGATTTCGCCATGGGCATTCAACTACTCATCAACTCATAAGAGTTACAAATTTAATTCGTTCAAACAAATCTGAAGGCCACTCAACTGGAGTTGCTCTTCTAGACATAGAAAAAGCATTCGACAGTGTTTGGCATGAAGGTTTGATTGCTAAATTGAAAAAGTTTAATTTTCCACTTTACATTATGAAATTAGTTCAACATTATTTAACTGACAGAACTCTGCAGGTAAATTATCAAAATTCCAAATCCAATCGACTACCTGTTAGAGCAGGAGTTCCTCAAGGTAGCATTCTTGGGCCTATATTGTATAACATTTTCACTTCGGACCTCCCTGATTTGCCTCAGGGTTGCCACAAATCTTTGTTCGCTGATGACACAGGCATTTCCGCTAAAGGAAGAAGTCTTCGTGATATTTGCAGCAGACTGCAGAAAAGTTTAGATATTTTCTCTTCTTATTTACAAAAATGGAAGATTTCTCCCAACGCTTCCAAAACTCAACTTATAATATTTCCACACAAGCCTAGAGCTTCGTTTTTGAAACCTAGTAGTAGTCACATAGTCACTATGAACGGAGTTCCAATTTCCTGGTCAAACCAAGTGAAATATCTTGGATTAATACTTGACCAAAAATTAACTTTTAAAGATCACATTGAGGGCATTCAAGCCAAATGTAACAAATATATAAAATGTTTGTATCCTCTTATAAACAGGAAATCCAAACTTTGCCTGACGAATAAACTTCTAATATTTAAACAAGTTTTTAGACCGGCCATGCTTTACGCTGTGCCAATATGGTCTAGTTGCTGCACTACCAGGAAAAAAGCACTTCAAAGGATTCAGAACAAAATTCTGAAAATGATTTTGAAGTTGCCTCCCTGGTACAGTACTACCGAAGTACATAGAATTTCGAATGTTGAGACTTTAGAACAAATGTCCAACTAAATAATTAATAACTTCAGGCAAAAATCGTTGCAATCATCAATTGCAACGATTAATTCCCTTTATACTTAGATAAGATTTAGTTTTAGTTTTTTGTTTTAAGATATCAATTGTTATACTGACATGCAGGTTTAAAAAAAAACCTGTTTAAAATACTGAATTGCCAAGACATGAACAATGTAAAAACACTTAGAAATATATCATAACAATTAAGGCTGGTACGTTACTGCAGTAACTGGAGCACCTAGGTTAAAATGAAATGTAATTTATTTTGAATTTGGAACAAATAAAGAAATAAAAAAAAAGGCTAGGAAAAGAGTTAGTGCCCAGCCGTCAGAAGAAAATGAAGCATCACTTAACCTTTCAGCTTTGATGCTTCCAACGACCGACCAATCATATAATTATCAAAATCGGAACGTACGGTACGAGATGTCCACGTTTCATCCATTTATTGGATTCTGAAGCATCGTGTTTAAATCTTCAATCCATACAGGCCCGATGTTTTCTGAATCATCTTGCCCCTTAAATGCTACACAGTAGGCCTGGCCGTTTTGATATGTGTGACGCATCATCGATGTGAAACATGTATCAAATAGACAAGAAAAATGATGTAGATATATATATCATTTTCCAGGATGCTTTCAAGAACTGGCTGCGTTGGTGTTATATTATATTTGATTACATTAGAAGAAAAGTCTTTTGTGGCCTTAAAATTCAACCCGAATTAGTTGTGAATGTACTTGATACCTTTGAGTACAAGATCTATAAAATGACCCAACGGCAACGAGGAAAAGTTTGTGTTCTTAATGATTCACTGAGTTTCACGGGATGGCCATCGTATTTGAAACATAACGCCTTTCTCAACGTAGTGAGCATCTGCACTAGGCCACTCGTAACGCTCCCTTGCTGTGTAAATCTATTTTATTTTTGCTGAAGGAAGTGTTACTGCTACCTAAAGCTTCAACATATTTAAACAACACTTCTCAGTGACAAACATTACCAACAACCTTGTTCTTTTCTTATTCCTCCTCGATCCTTGCTTGGAGCCTTTCCGAGGTAATCCCGCTTGGATTTCAAGTTGGAAAATTAGTAATGTGCTAGGAAGTTGACTTTGAGAAGCTTTATTCTGCCACTATGTATGTGTTTGCTTTATTCTGCCACTATGGCGCCTAAACGCAAAAGAAAAGGAAAATCTCTTGATACCCCTTCTCATGAAATGCATTTGAGCAATCAATTTAATATGCTCACGGATGATGAGAATGTTACATAATCCAGGCAAAATTCTAATAAACTTTCCCTACTTGATGCCAAGAAGGAAAAGGTCTCCCGGTATTTTGGTAACCACTTCCGATTTCCATGCTCTTCGCAAGGAAGCTTTGAACTTCGTTAATTCGTTCAAATTTTCACTTCAAATTGGCCTGCGGGGTGAATGCTGTGTATTGTCTAATTCCTTGGAGGGATTTAAACGTCTTCTCAAGTATCTTATTGATAAACAACATAAATGTTTCACTTGCGACACCAAAACTGAACGTCTGCTCTAGGTTGGCTTGAGAGTTCTGCCCAGTGTTGAATCCCTGGATCAGATCATAGATGAATTGACAAATTTATTTGGAATTGAGTCAGTTCAAGTCCTCGCGCAACAGGATTCCTAATGTGATTTATTTAGTTAATTTCAAGTCAAGTGAATTAAACAACCTTGAGGCCTAAGAAAAAGCCATGTTCGAGTGAAGTGGGATCACGTGCTGTTTTCAAAATCTCTCCCAGTAAGTGCCAGGGATGGGGTCATGGAACAAAAAATTGCTACATGCTAGCTAAATGCATGAACTGCATTGACGTAGCTAGAAAATTCATCTGGAGGGGGCCTAGGGGGAGCCTGTTGCATTTGTTTACTTTGCTAAACTACGGTTAAATAAAAACTCGCCAAGATGCTATTCAATGAAATTCAAGGCATCTTGTTTTTGGGTAATTTTTTGACATTGAGGCTTACTATTATTTTAATGGTGAAACAATAATTTTTATTATTTTTACTGTGGAGCCTTAGAAGCTTACTGATTTTGAACGAGAAATGACCGTTTCTTCATGCTTTGGATCTCATAAGTTTAAGCAATCTTAATAAAATTCTCAGAGCTAGTTGATTCCATGAATTTTGTAACTAGATTTTTTTTAGATTCTGAATATTTAATTATCAGTTAATCTCAGACATAGGAACCAAAATTAAATGCTAGGAGTTTGAATTTTATATATTCTGGCTTTGAAACATGGTAAAGTGCACACAGAATAAAGTTCACTTTAAGGATTTAGAATTTAGGAAAATGTTCAAGATTTATGTCCATGCATAATTCTTAACATTATGAATACTAAAATAAATATA